CAAAGACCATAGAGAATAGAGTGACCTTTTCTAGGTTTCTGAGGAGGGAAACCGAATCTGGCTTCCATCTTCCATCTGACTCTGCACCTCTGCTTGGATGCACTACCCTCCATGAGAGCCCTTCCCCCATGCCTTCTAGGGCCTTCTCTTGCCCATCTCCCACTCCACACTGCCCTTGAGGGGCCTGGGAACCCAGAGCTCCTGCCCAAACTGGCCTGAGCGTCTTTCGGGCCTACACAGGCCTCTTTCCTGCAGTCCATCTCCTTGGGCAGGTCCTGTGTGTGCTTCTCTAGGCCTGAAGGATGGCCAGCATGGCCGTGTGGACTGGAGTGTCCCGATGACTGTGTGGGGACCTTGCAAACAGGCCAGAACTGGCTTGGGAAGAGAAGAGGGTTAGGGAGCGCCCATTTCTATTCTTGCCCCAGCCATGCAGATATGCAGGTCTTCTCTTAACCGTTTTTACAGTATTGCCTCCCCAATTACAAAATGCTTATTTTCCCTTTGGCCCTGTGCGCCAGTCCACACTTGATGCAATTATAGCTAAAGCAACCCAAATCAAATATGTGTTTCTGTGTAGTAAGCCATTGGCATTTGCAAAACAAGAACGAAGAAGGGAGCGTTTCATTTTTCAAGATACCCAGTAATAAAATAATACTGGATTGTGAAATCCAAAGTCATAAACATATACATTACCAAAGGAATTTATTGCAAGAAATAGGTAGTAAAAGGGTTTTTAGATAACATGGATTCAGGTTTTGCAAGGCTTCAAGGGCAAGTAAAATAGAAAATAGAAGGCTCCCACAGCGATATAAAAGCATCACGTCATTCATCAATGACTAAATTTTTGAGAAATGCTCATTAGAAACACAAAAGTAAATTAGAAGTGCTCTTAAAAAATTCCATAAAAACCCCTCAAATGGCAAAAAGAACAGATACCAAATGACTGCAGAAACGGTCAAGGGTATTTGTGGAGGGAAGAGGCATGGGAAAGGAGGTAGAACTTTCATCCTTCTGGGCTTTAGGGACTTTGCTTCTTGGCTGATCTGGTTTGGAGGACGGCAGCAGCATTCACACGCTCTGGTTAGTAAATCCCTTGAGTGGATGATGACCTGATGGTGGTGGTGCGTTAGGGTCATAGACTCTGGCTCCCTAAGGTAGAGGAGCTGGGAGGAATTTTTGTTCCCTGCTTCCCTGCCTTTCTGCCAATGTACATGCCTATTGTTCTTCAAGGCTTCTTGGTGGCATCGCCTTGATTCTCTGTATCACTCAGCTCTTTCCCTCCCCTAGGTATTATCCACGTCCCTCATCTGGCATTGCCACTGGCCATCCGCTCTCAGGACTGACCTCTGGGTATCTGTGTGAATTGTTTCCCCATCTCTATCCCTGGAGGGGTAGACAAGCGACAGTGCTGCATCTGGAATCTATTTATCCCCTTCCCCACAGTTCCATCTTTATGCGTTGAAAGTGCCCCAAAGTTCCCCATACAAGACATGAGACATAAACAGTTGTTATTAGGTTTATGTCTTGCTTGGTTACAGATTGAATGGCCTTTGTAACTTCTGAGATGTTTCTATGGTCTTGGATATCCAGAATGTTGATTCCGTTTCATTATATTTGGAATCTCCAGCAGGCTGACAGGGTCCCACGATGTTAAGTGAGAACTCAGCTGTTCCTGAGAAGGGCTCTGAGAATCCCAGAGTCTTCTGGTTGGAGTTTCTCGGTTACTCTTCAGTTTCCAAACTCATTTTGAGGGTGGGATAAGGGTTTGAGATCATGTCTCTTAGATGGATGGAAATGGTTTGTTTGTGGGTTGGGATGAATTTCCTTTGAAATTTCTGTTGGAGTCTCCTTTTATCTCTCTAGCTAGGAAAGTTTTAAGGGGCATCTTGGTAACCCGGTTATTAAGAACGTATTGTGTATGTTAGTAATTGACTGTCACAAAAATGCTGTGTAACAATATACCTCCAATCTCAGCGGTTTAAAACAAGTAGCATCTGTTCAGCTCATGAGCCTGTGGGTCGGCCATGTTGGCCTTGGCTGGGCAGTTCTGGTTCTGTAGTTTCCCTCACAAGCCTGGGGATGGGTAGTCTTTCAGATGGATGATCTAGAGTGGTCTGGGCTGGAGAGATTGGATGACTGGGCTTTGTCCACATGCCTCTCATCCCCAGCACACTAGCCTGGGTGTGTTCCCATGGAGCTGGAAAGTTACAAGTGCAGACACTTGATGCCTCTTGAGACTTGGGCTGTCTTGCTGTGTTCTGTTGAATGAATAAAGTCCAATGGGCAGCCCAAAAACAAGGCTTGGGGAAGCGCACCCTACTTAGTGAGAGGAACCACAGTCACATGGCAAAAGGCAGGGACCCCGGGAGGAGTGGAGAATTGGAACCATCATTTAATCTACCATAGTGTGACAGGAAAATGTAAGCAAGTTAGTCTCCCTTCTCTGTGTATCTACAACACATGAAGGGTATTTCGATTATCTATGTGTGTAATCAACTAGCCCCAAAATGAGTAGCTTCAAACAAGAACCCACTTGCTATTTCTCATAACCCTGTGGGTTGACTGGACTCAGCTGGACAGTAGTTCTCCTTTCTTGCTGTCAGCAGGGGCTGCTGTCATCTGAGAAACCACCATTCTGGAATGCCCAGGATGACTCCCTCGTGGGCCTGGCACGTGGTGCAGGTGTCAGCCGGACACCCACTTCAGGCCTCTGCCACGTGCTGCCCTGGGGCACAGGGACTGGGTTCCCAGAGGCAGGAAGGGAAAGCTTCTGGTTCTATGAAGGTCTGAGCTCAGGACCCCAGAGCATCCCTTCTGCAGCGTTCTTTGGATCAGAGGCAGTCATTAACTCAGCTGGGCTTGGAGGGGAGGGGACAAGCTTGTGGTACGAGCAGCAGCGTGTGGGTGCGGGGGGGGAGCGACTGTGTGGGTTGGGTTACCCTAGAGAGGTGCTAAAACCTACAGAGAAAGCGGTCGTTCCTGAATGTGGGGTCCTGCAGTGGGGGGACTTGCTTTTGTCAGGAAACCTCCAGGATGGACCTCTCTGGGCTGAATGACCCTAGGGGCAGAGTGGTCTTTTCCTGGGGTGACTTCTGCTGCCCTGAGGAGGCCGTCTCGGAGGAGTGGAAGGAATTACCCATCCACCCCGCTCCCAGAGGAGCCAGCTCCGAGAGACCTTTGTCCAGGCTGCCTGCCATCCTCTGTCCTCGCCCGTGTGCGCCAAGAGCGTGGGTGACCTTCAAGAGCTCCCCAATTCAATTTCAAGACAGTGCTTCATTCCTTGTGCATTTTTAGCAACTCTTATCCCCCAAAAGGACTTGCTTTAGACCTAGGGGGGAAATTGCCTACTTTCCAAGATCAAGAAATTTGGCTATAGGAAAAAATAATGTCTAAGGTTCCAAGTTTGTCATCTTGGACAGCCAAGCTTCCCCTGATCCTGGGAGGATGCCGTGGAGCCATGTGGGGGACCGACCCACCCCACACACAGACCCGGAGGCGAAGACCTCCCGTGAGAAGCTCATCTATGTTGGAGGTGGATGTGTTTGCACCTTGAGAGGGTCGGAAAGCCCAGAATACACATGTACTTGGGACTCAGCGAGTGCCCTGGCAGATCCCTGGAGTAATGTGTTCAGTAGCAAACTTGAAAGTCAGCTTTTGTGTCTGTAGTCCTGTAATGAAGATGTGAATTTTTGTTTTGTGGTTTACTACTGCTAAGAGTCATAGGCCAGATTTACCAAGAAGAAAACACACAAAAGTAATAGTTAATAAAAAAGTCATGGCCCCTAAAAATGTAAATTAGAAGAGGTATTTTCAGTGCCAGGAAACAACTGATGGCTAAGATCTACAGAGAACCAAAGTTGGGTTGGGGAATGGTTCCTGGAGCCTGGAGCCCTGGGGGAGGGTCCCGAGGATGGGAGAGGTCCCCATAGGATCTAGCTATGGCCAGACCATGGCCAAGACTGCAGGGAGCCTCGAGTGGATGGTGGGAAGGGTTGGGGGCAAAATGTCCCTACTCTTCTCTCTTCCCGCCTTGTGATCTCCAGGTGGTGTCATGTTGATCAAACTTGACGGGGGCCAGAAGGTGAAGGAGCCCAGCTGAGGTAGTCTGTAGGGGTCAGCCCTGGGTGGGGGCATGGGGCAGGGGTGGAGAACCTGCGACGGGGAGGGGCAGACAGACAAGAACCAGAACGCACTGGTGCAGAATCTGAAGAAAGGAAAATTTTGGATGAAGTGTTTCTCCCTAGAGTATGGGCACCTTAATATTTCATTCATTTAAGTTTAAATTAAATTTTCAAATGAATTAAAGTATCTTCAAAATACAGGGTGAAACCTGTTAATTATGTCCAACCAAAGTTTCTTATGGGCTTTGGAGTCAGGCCAGTCTGACTTGAATCCTGGCTCTGTTGCTTAAGAATCAGGTGATCATGGACAAATTAGCAACCTCCCTGGGTGTCCACATCCCTGACCAGACGATGGGAATGTGAGCTTTCAGAGTGGTGGTCAGGGTTAAATGAGAAATGCGTGTGGAGCCCTTAGCCCCAGGGCTGCCACTTAAGCACTCGATGACCAGTATCTGTGCTTTTTATTAAGTGCTTAATTATGAGGCTTACCGATGTGTAGATGGCATTAGTTTCAGTAGAAAGTTCAAAAGTCCAGTTCTCTCAATATAATAGAAAATAGCATTTTGCGTGTCTCATTTCTTCCTTTAAATGATCACTCATAGATGCTGCCCGTGTAAAATGATGTGCATGAACTGAATTTGACTTGGGTTTGGGGGGACTTGTCATATTAGGGTTTTTGGGACTAAAAGTAAGTGATATTCCCAACAGGAGAGAACTGGGTTTTCTCGTCACTTCATTTACTGTGCATATCTAAAGGCAAATGTTAGTGCAGAGCTGGGGTTATTTTACCATTGGTGTGTTGTGTTCAGTCCTAATGGAAAACCAAACAAAGAAACCTGTTGTTTATTACTATTTGTGTTGCCCCTTTGTGTCTTCTAGCTGCCTCAGGTTCTGAACAGATGGTAACCGTGCTAGCCTCCTGAAGGACATGATTCAGACTGTCCCAGACCCGGCAGTTCATATCAAGGTAGGTTCCAGCTCGGCCAGGAAGCTGCCCTGGCTTCCTCCTTGGCTGGACTTTTGCAGATGCCTGCCCACCTGTCAGCGAATGTAAGGGTCAGCCAATCACAGCCGTGGGCCAGACCCGGTCCACCACCTGTCTTTATTCAGCCCATGAGCTAAGAAAATGCTTTTAAGTTTTTAAATGGTTGAAAAAAAATCAAAAGAAGAAGAATATTTCATAGTGCATGTAAATTATAGGAAATTTAGACTTCATTGTCCAGAAGGAGAGTTCTCCTGGGCTGCAGCCACACACTCATTTCCATGCTGTCTAGAGCTGCTTTCACACTGTCATGGCAGAATTGAGTCCTTCCAGCAAAGAACATAGGGTGGCAAAGCCGACGATATTTACTATCTGGTTCTTTGCAGAAAAAGATTGCTGACCCCTGAGTTAACATTGAAAACCACATCCAAATTCTCTAACTTCTGTTCTAAGTTCATCTCCTTTACACTTCCTGGGGTTACCTAGGGAGAGACGAGAGGGTTTCCAGTGCTCAGCCGTGTCGTTTTATCTGGGCGTGCTGACACTTCAGCAGCTTGTCACCCCACACCTGCCCCGCCTGCTCGCTGGCAGCTCTTCCTGGAGCTCTGGAGGTGAGAGAACAACAGGGAAGTGAGACTCCAGCCAAAGCAAGTCCCTGAGAGGAAGCCGGCCCATTCCTTTCAGTACTCCGCGTACACATGGTTATAGCCACCAGGAGAAATGAAGTGATGGTTTTCATATACTTGACCCAAATAAAAGTTACAGAAAAAGTTGGGGCTTGAGCTACATGATCCAGATAGGCTGTCTACACCTGTGCTGATTGGCCCAGCTGTCTACATTGGCCCAAATCACTCACTACCTTGCCAGTTCTTGGCTTCCCCCATATAAATTCATTTCCCCAAATGGTGTCATCGGTTTTACTAATTTTTACTCTTTACCTAAAACATTTATTGAAAATGGAAAGTGGCTTATAAAGGAGAGGAAAGTTTATGGTATTGAAAAATTTATCTTTTTTTTTTTGGACTAAAATATAAAACGCCCTCCAAAATGACACGTGCACACACACATTTACATACACACATGCTTTTCAAAAGCAGTATATTTGCGAAAGTGTTATGTACCATGTACAACTCACATTCATACGTGTTTAATTTCTTTGAAAGTGGAATTAGAAGTAATAAGAGCTTAAATGCATTTTCTGACCTTTGTGGGTGTTACTGCAAGTGTCAGAGATACGGGGGATCCCGGGGTGTGGAGCTGTCTGAATGTCATCCAGGGACGGACAGGAGCAGATCCTCTGGGTTGACACTATCATTTGATTTCTGTGTGATAACTGATTGGGGCATATGGACATTATGTCTACAAAAATGCAAGTGGGAAAGCTCTTGTGGATGTGATAAGGTCTCTTCAGAAATATCTGGAATGTGTTTGGTGAGTGTGTTTGTGCTACACACTGAGTGGGGGAGGGGACTTTTTTCTTTTAGCCTCTGTTGACCATGAAGCTGCAGGATGCAAAGAAAAGCTCTCAGGGAAAGAAGTTGATACAAGAAATATCTTCTATAGTTCAGAGTATGAGCGACAGCAACTGAAATCCACTTTGACTGGCATTTTATTCGTAACCAACCAGAAGGAAAAGATGAATTCAGCAAGAAATTATTGCAGATTTTTAAAAGTTAATTCATCAAGTGCAAACAGACACATCTGAGAAACATGATCTCTGAAAAAGTGTTTAGTAGAAATGTTCTGTATTTGATCTCAGGAATGAGCTATGTTTTTAGCTCTGATTTATTATCCTCACATTGGTTAACGTAAATATAACTGACAGATAATTTTAAGAAATGGAACCCTGAGAGTTTCTTAAAAACAAATTTCAACTAAAATTGCTTCTGTGTCTTTTGAAGATGATTTGGTAATTTAGAGTTGCATATACTAATAGCTGATGTTGGCTTTGAGGCAGAGAGAATTGCATTAAAGACATTTGTTTCCTTGGTAAATCTATCAAATTCCACCTATTGGAATTTGAATAATTATTCCTGGACTTCCTTGTTTTTTTGTTTATGAAATTGGTGTCCTTGACAACAGTCAGGAAAATAGGTTGCCTTCCACTGTTCCCTTAAAATACCCAATTTGGGGAATTTATTCAGTAAAATTTTCTATGCTGAGAAGTTTCTGGTTGTGGGCTGAGGAATGCAGCTCTTATTTCTGGGAGAGGAAGTTCTTATAAATGACACGTGACAGGTTCCACTTGCTATGTTAATGTAGATAGTGGAAGATTTTGTCTTTGGCTCACTGCTACAGAAATGTTTTTCTCATCTGAAAAGGACTTGAATTCTCCACAGAATTGACTTCACCTGGCAGGTGTGCACGGAGACAGCCATAAAGACTTTATGTGGCCTTCGTATCCTTCCATAGGCTGACCTGGAGGAAAGAAATGTTCCTTTTTATTTAGGAAATGTATTCTGCAAAATTTCCTATAGTTCTTTTCTGCCAGAGCAAATTACTTTTACCCTTTCATATATTTAAGGAGCTGGAAATAGTTTTTAAAAAGGAAGGATGGTAAATAATTGTGAAATATTAGATATTCTTGATTTAAATAATGTAACAATTGTGGCAATTGATTTACAAAGAAAATGAACAGAACTTTAAACGTATTTCAGCTTATTCTTTATTGATGAAAATATTAAGTTATTAAGCACATTTTGATTTGTCTTTTTTTGCTGGCCCTTCCAAGTACTGTCTTATAATAGAAATTATGGTGAGTGTCACACCAGTATGCTCTGAGCTGGTTAGGCCATGTGACCATGCCTCTGCTCTGCTAAGGGGTAGCACGTTTCACTGCCAAAGATAGACCCAGACTCTTAGCCCTGTTACTGAGTCCAAGTTGGAACTGCTTGCCCCATGACAGGCCAGTAAATCCAGAGACAGGTTGTTGAGGGGAAGGAATAGCGACTTTATTCAGAAAGCCAGCAGACTGAGAAGATGGTGGACTAGTGTCCCAAAGAAGCATCTTACCCGAGTTAGAATTCAGGCTTCTTTTATACCAAAAGGGGAGGGGGTGTGGCTGGTTGTTGCAGACTTCTTGGTGCCGGAATCCTTTGTTCTTGCAGCTGTCCTGCGTGGGTCTGGTCACAGTTGTCCTATCAACCTCCAACAAGACAATTGTTATTCTCTGCTTTGCAACTTTTTATCTCTATATGATTGGAAAAGTGTTACACCTTTAAAAGTCAGAGCCTTGAGAAAGGGCTATCCTGTATATTTCAGGCTGTAGGCAACATTCTTTTACAAAAGGTGCAGAGCCAGCATGACTAAGCACAGGCAACAGAGCACAAGGGTTAGAGCTGAAGGAATGGATCTGATAGGGAGTCAGGTTGGTTCTTCTCTGTTACATCCCAAGCAGGGAAAAAAGACTAGAAAATCCATTTTACTAGGATTTGACACAGACTTTGGTCATGAATTCTCATTCCGATGAGAATTCTCATCAGAATTCTTGATTTACATCATTGCATTTCCTCATAAGAGCTCCGTTTTAATATTTTCATTTACTAACATTAGAGACGAAGAGGATGAGCAGAGTAGAGAGCAGTCAAGTTTCCAGCTTTAAAGAAACATCTGATTGGTACAGTTTGTAATTGTTCCCTTTGCCATTCATCAGCTACCCACCTGGATTACCAGACGTTTTGGAACTGGCCAAAGGAGGATGGGACTGAGAGGGGAAGGGTCTGAATTTTAGTTCTACTCCATGGATCACTGGCTGTGTGACCCAGAGATGCTGGTTCCCAAAACTCTCCGAGCCGCATGTTCTTAGCTAGGTTCATATCGTGGATAAGAGAGAGGGTCCTAGTGTCCTGGGACTCAATTCAAATCCTGTCCTGTCATTTACTAACTCGGTGATGCTGTACAAGTTCCTTAATCTCTCTGTGCGTTGGTTTCCTCTTGTCTGAAGTGGAAGCACCTACTTTGGCGGTTAATGTGAGGATTCAGTGAGCTATTATTACGGGTAATGCACCAAGACCCTGCTGAGAGCTCCTGTGGTCTGTAAAATGAAGATAACATATCCATCTCCAAGACAGAATATTGTTGTGTCTGATATACACAGAGCGACATGGGTATGTCTTAAAAAATATTGACTTGAATGCAAAAAATCTAAAACAGGATGTGCTCTGTGGCACAATACTATTTACACATAGGAAAACATGTACACTTCCCAAAAGACATCATGTCCTTTTCATGGATACATATGTACCTAAAGCATACCATGACCACATCAGAGGAGATGAGTGCATATATGGGACATGTTGGCTAGTTGCTCTGAGAGGTGGTTAGGAGATAAGGGAAATAATAGTAATAATATACAGATAATGTCAGTTCCTACCATGGATGGGACACAGAGGGTCCTCTCCTCCACACTGGTGGTAAGTTGGTACAATACCAGTTGTGCTTTGGTACCAGTTTGGTGTTAACTTCTGAAGTTAATGATGCTCTAGGAGGTCCACCCCTGGGTATATGCCCTGTTGCACACAGGTGCCAAGAAACATGCATAAGCAAAAAACTAGAACAACCCAAATGCCAGGAGAACAGATGAATAACTTGTGGTCTAGCCCTCCGATGGAATACTATACAGCAGTGAAGAAGAAACTACAAACATCTACCTGTGTCTGTGCATTGATGTGCATGATTCTCAAGGTTGAGTGAAAAAAAAGTCACAGAAGAATAAGTACAGTATCATACTGTATTTATCATACCATATTTATTTAAGAATAAAGTATCATACTTTATACACAGTATGATTCCATGTATAAAGATCAAAAAAAAGGCAAAACTACAAAACATATGTTGTTCATAGACACACATGTATGTGGCAAAAAGAAGAACAAAGGCACAATATGTACATAATTCAGGATAGAAATTGCCTTGTGGGGGAGGGGAGAACTTTGGGGAGGGACTCAGGGG